CCGGAGCCAGCCGTAAGATCACGGCTGGCTCCGCCCAGCTGTCAGAAGCAGGCTGTCGGCCGGACAATCGGCCAGCTTCGGCTTTTAGCACGGCTCAGCCAAGCCGATGCATAAGCGTTCGGCCACGATCGGGAGCTGTACGGGCTATTGTGGATAGCCCGTACAGCACCCCTTCAGTTCTAATGAACCGAAGGGGTCCTGGGGCCGAAGCTACGGCCAGATCCTTCAGCAGCTTCGTGAATAGACCCCTAAATATCCAAACCGCACAAAACAAACCAAATGTTTCCGCAGCTTACATGTCTAAGGCAGAAAGACCAACGAGCAAACAACAACTGAAGACAGCTGCAGTAAAGGCCTGGCAAAGCATCACAAAGGAGGGAAACCCAACGTTTGGTGATGTCCATGCATTCCTGTGTTGCGATATCTCTTAGTGGACTTTTTCAGACACACATAAATTTGCAAGAGAGACGGAGGTTTTGTTTGTTTGTTGATAGAAACTCGGTTCATACAATGGAAGGGGCCAACAATACAGCCCAAACTGGTTTTACACAATGGTGTAGCTTATCCTGTATTGATTTGTATCACAATGGGATGGTGATCGCCTAGCCTGGTCAAGGCTCAAATCAAATCTTGACTACTGATGGCAATTTATGGTACAAAGCTGCCACCTAGAGGTGGGAAACTGCATTGCATTTTCCTAAAGGTGAAAGGGGCGTGGCTTCCATTGTTTTAGGCAAGTTTCTCTCAATAAAAGGCCAGTAGCTGAAAGGTAACGGAGGAGTTCACCAGCCCAGCACTTCACAAGACCAGGGCTTCACAGGGGGGGACAGTACGAGGGCGCTTCACAAGACCAGGGCTTCACAGGGGGGGACAGTACGAGGGCGCTTCAAGACCAGGATACTGCAACGAGAAGCCACCTTCCTAGGCCAAGTCCTGCTCAGCACGGAATCTGCAGCCTGAGCTAAGTACACTTTCAGTGTTTCCCCTCCTAGAAATCATACATGTACTGGAAGATAGTGTAGTGGGTGCATGTGAGTGTTTGTAGCGGCCGGCATGTCTTGTTGATGTATTTGTTGCGTTTCCTGTAACTAAGGTTGCACGCGCAGCATTTACGCCAAGTAAAGTACTTGTAATGCTACTGGGTCAGTTTCCTTGAAGTTTACTGCGAGAACAGACAACAAATAGAAATTAAAGCTTTACAGCTGGGCTCATCCTTGGGATAAGCTGGACGTCTCTGGGATTTGTAGTCCAGAGCATTACAATGGGGGAGGGAGCTCCGGGGCCCCCAGATATGTAGCTCCGCCTCCGGGGCCCCTCACCTGTCGGACACTTGCTCCTGGGTGAGTTTCTTGTCGCTCTGGAGGAGGATGGAGACGTAATGGCGGATCATTCCCACGAAGAAGGTGATGAAGACGATGGGCAGCACCACCCACAACCGGATGTTGGAATCCAGGAGGAGCTCCGTCATGGTGGACGCTGCAACCGGAGA